CTCCGGGTTCTCCCAGCAGCCCTTCGGTGTGACAAGCCGCGGGCATGGCGGGCCTCTACAAGGCACCAGGGCCAGACCCAGGGCTCAGAGCGTACCTTTGCTTTGGGCACGGGGGGCTGCCAGTACCCAGGGCCAGATCACTGAGTGCACTGCTGTCTCCCGAAATGACCGATCCATCGAGTACTTACCGGTCCTTACCAAAATCCCACGCATGCCCGCATTCTGGGCGCCACCAACATCATCCCTGCAGTCCTGGGACAGAACGGGAGATCAGCTGGTTAGTGGGCACAGACACTATTTGTTAACAGGTTTTTCATGACGTTCTCTGCCTTGTACATCACTAATCAGCCACTTAAAAGCAGTCAAATCCTGTAGCTACCTGTTAGACAAACTGTCACGGGAATGATTTACTACGTGCTTTTTGCCTGATCAAATAGCGACCGACGCGAGAGAACTGACCCCATGGACTACACGTTCAATCCTGCAAGTTTGATGGTTCAGTTTTCACCCCTCGTCTAAGCACAGCGCTTTTCGAAAGATCCATTCGTGGCATTTGGGAGGCACGACACACAGCGGAGATGGGCACTACATTAACAGGCAAGTGATAAGGTATTTGGTCCCCACGTACGTCACCAATCATGACGGCCTCTTCTGGGGCACAGTCAGTCCCCCGCAAAGCTTCTAGGAAGAAGGTTTTCTCTGGCTTCCCCACCACTGTCGCTTTGGTGTCCGTCGCGTATTCCAGCCCAGCTACAAAAGGTCCAGGTCCCAGAGCCAAGCCATCTTTTCTCTTGAAGTATCTGGCTTTATGAATAGCTATAAGAGGAGCACCATCCAAAATCAACCTAAATGAAGAAGGAAGTACAAAAATTATATTAAAACCCCCCGATATTTACAGCTGAAGGCCTGAACTGGCTTTCGTTTAAGTTGACAAAGCTCCCGCTGACTTTCACAAAGCCCCAGATTATAATGCAAGCTAGCATTCGTTTGGACAGTTAAAGTTCCTTCCTTACTCTTCCCCAGAAACAGCTAGTAAAACAAATCCCCCAAATAAAGAACTTATTATCTTGAGGATTTTAACAGGTAACTATTTTTAAATCCGGTCTATATCTCTCATGTGATTAGGTCCATTACTCTTAAGCAGCCTCACTTTTCACTAAGGCAAACATCCTAACATTAGAACCCATCTGATTTCCCCACGCAAGTATTTTAAAATACATTAACCACAGGCAGCGGCTGTAGGTAGCAGTTTGATGGCCACAGCTTTAATCTCCTCGCCTGGACTGAGAACACAGCAGTGCTTTCAGGATGCTGCTGCTGGGAAATCTGCAGCCCAGCAGTCCTTGGGGCTGTCGGTATCGCCTCTAACAGCCGAACAGCTATGTGTTTCCAGCAGAGATGGGTGTTCAGGTGAGTCCCAAGTAGAAGGTGGATGATTTTACCCTAACTTTATAGTTTAACGTTGGAGGAATTACAATAACAAGTTACACGAAAAAGCACAAAGATATTAGGCATGTTCACGTCCCATCGAATTCCCCAGTTAACAGCGCTATTACTGAGCCTGTTAGGAACAAAGCTGGATTTGAGCTCCTTGCTATTGGGAACCAAAAATTCCAAGTGGAAGATGGATCAAAGCAACAAGTCAGCAGATTCCTAACACTTCCGAGTACGATAAAAGGGTCACAGAGTAAGGGTCACAAGGCACGGTATGGCAGCGTTACAGGAGGGTCTTGGCTGGCCACAGCACCTGGGAGCCTCAGGAAGCGAGTGCAGCGGTGGTCTGAGAGACTGGGAACTGCTCCCTGCCCAACAACCAAGATCCTCCCACCTTCCACGGGCCCAATTCTGCCCCAACGCACCAGCGTGCACCCTCCTCGGGGTTCCACAGACAGCATCTCTGCCTGCCAGCTGACCTACCTGTTAAAAACCTGCACAGATCGTCTGGAATGGGTGGAAAAACGTAAGGGAAGAAGTAATTAAGAAACTGCTGTTGCTCCACCGATCTCAATCAGTGCCTCCTTAGCCTCGCTACCCTGTCACCCCTGTCAATTCACTTTGTGTCTGCTTGAGGGCTCTTGTCTAACGCTTGCCTTGTAAAACCCTTGTGGCAGGGAGCATGTCTTGTTAGCACACACAGCGCCTGAACAGTGGACCCGTGACAGCAAAGTAATAAATGGGAGTTTAAGAATGCTTGCTTTCACAGAATCTGGACCTAATCTTTGAATTCTTCCATTTCTGTTACCTGCCTGGTAGTTGTTCCTTACAGCAGACACAGCAGCTACCTGTCCTGCAGCAAAGGGAAGCCTGCGTAGCTGCTGCACTAGAGGAATCCTCCCGGTACTACCAAGCACAGCAAGGTTATCGCAGTCCTCCCCTTCCCCAGCCTCAGTTTCAGTGCAACAAAAGCCCTCCAGACAGCATCTATAAAAGCTGAGGTTAACGACTGCCAAACGCTTCCCGTTCGATTTTATAGCACCTTCTTCAGGTACTGAGGCAACTCCAGTCTTTGTCACAACAGGCAGGAATGTAACTAGCAAAGCTTCAGGATAGAGGGGAAACGCTGGCCGTTATCTTGAGGGCAGAAAGAAGGATTTCTTTTCCCCTTAACCCCGCCTGATTTACAAAAAAAAAAGCCTGCCTTTAAGAAAACAAAATCTTGCTTTGCCCCTTCACTGCCTTTCTGGAGCTCTGCTGTGGCTCTGCTCAAAGAAGCTGCCTTAGGTGAGTTGTATGCTCCTTGGAGGACGTCTGCTCCTTCCCACGTGCTTGCAGAGCAGCCTGGGTACTCTGAGCAGTACATAAATGATAATACTTCATTTCACTTAATTATCACAAAACACTTCTATTGAATCAATGCGTTCCAAAGCAAGCTCAACAAGAAGAGAGTTGGCACGCGTTATCTGTGAGCAGCCAGGTATGTTCGCGATGGGAGGATGCCTCTAGGATACAGAAAAATCTAATTTGACAGCAGCACCACAACCACTTACATTCAGCAGTCTGCAGGAGGGATCTCACCTGAGAGAATTCTTTTAAATGTGGCATCAAAATCCCACGTATACAAGAAGAGAAATTTAGTCTCAGTCATTTCAAATGGTGCCTAGAGAATGGCCTTACTCTGTGTATCTCATTTTGGGACTCTCATCGGGTTCGATTTACCTAACCTAATGTTGGATATCGACCGAGCAGTTGCCTACCAGGTAATTAGTCAGCCTGGGCTCTTCACAGTCAGTGGAGAGGAAAAAGCACTTCTAGGGCACAGTTCAACTGTCCTATTTTAAGCACTACTGGGGAAAAAATGAATGGTGCCTTACAAGCGCCTCCTCTCTCCCTCTGGAGCCCAGGTCACCAGCTCAGATACAGGCATCGGCACTGTAGATACCTGCATTTAAGCAGATTCACCTTAAGGTTTTGCTATGAGCAATGCAAACCCCAAGTGACTTAATTATCTGAGCAGTAAAAGACAGGGAATAAAGTAAAGGACAAGGCATAAGGCTCGAGAAGAAGAGAATGCGGCCAGTAGTTAATATTTCTATTAGACCAAAGAAAACTGACACCAGCAAAACAGTTTATCTTCAATAGAGGACTGGGGGAAAAATACCCAGAACAAGTCAGTGAGACGTTAAAGATCAGACAGAGCCCGTCCTGCGGCCTCCGCCCAGCCTGAAACACAGGACCAGGAAAACACCGGGCAAATCCAGGACAGACTCACAGCGGATGATCATACCATAATCACGCTACGTAACGATGATACTGCTACCACCCTCTTCTTCCCACACGAGAAGGATTTCCTCACCTACGTAGAGGTACAGAGCCCAGCACAAGACAGCCACCCTTCAAAATGCCACGAGGAGGGGCTGACTTACCGAAACGCTCTGTTCATCATCTCGTAGTGAAAGCACTCAGGAGCCAGTCCTACCACCACTGCATTGGGGTCATCAGTGGCTATGCCTGGAAAATCGAAACGTGACTCTGAGTGAACAGCATTTTATTCATACTTAGCAGTACACAGTCAACAAGTGCAATTAAATCACTTTACAGCAAAAATGAGCATTTTCTGACACAGACACATCACATATAGACTAGTTTTATGTCTTTTAGAAACGAGGAAAGCATCTGTGGAAAGGTGTTGATCTATCCAGACTCTGCCATCCTACACGATGGACACAACTCTGCAGCCGGGTAGTCTTAACAGCGACTGTTGAACAGTCATTCTCTCACTGCCTCCACTGAAATGCCGGAGACCGCACAAATCACTTCTTTAACTGAATGACTTTTTGTTATCTAAGAATCGCTTTCTACACATATTCATCTGCTTTGTAAGACAGTAAAGCAGGAAGACTAGAGAATTCCATCTGTTTTTTCTGTTCCCTCTAGTCACAGAAAACTCCACTTAGGGTAAAAAGCCTGAGTGTTGTTCTACATATCAGTCCGGTTATGATGGCAAAGATGGTATTGCAGCATGACCTAGAAGTTGTTACACTAGATTAGTTTTGGCTCTTCTGGAAGGTCTTTTTTTTAATGTGGATTAGTCCCCTCGAGAACAGCTTGCACCTCCTTTGTCCTGCACTGCTCCGGAGGAGCGTGACTGTTTTTACATGGTAGTGCCACCTCTGAACAGAACCAGCAGTGGAAGCAAAGTAGCACCTACAGGAGAAACAGGAGTACCAGAGTGTTTTATTTAGGACAGGTTAAGTATCAGCTGCATCCTGCACTTGCTGGGGGTTTTGTTCCACCTTCACACAGCATATCCTCTACACCTTTACTGGGATAACTAGAGCTCCTGGGTCTCCAGAGAGTGTCATCGCAGCCTGCTGGCTGATGCCTCCTGCCGCATGTCCTTCAGTTAGCTCAGACAGCAAAACGTACACTCAGAGATGCCATGTGGATTTGTGACACCATCCAAAGCACCTGGGTCCTTTAACCAAGAATGGATTACATTCATCCATCTGTGACCAACTTTATAGAGAGATTAGCCAAGAATAGTTCAATAGCAACCATTAACAGGAATTTAAAACATTCTGCATCGTACTTAAATGTTTCAAGAGCAGCACTGAGAGAATATGAGCAAAACCGCCTGTAGCAAAGAGAAACAAAACAATCCATTCCAGATCCAAGCAACACAGAAAATGCCACCAACGCACTCCGCTGATAGCTCTATCTTTGCCATCTTTTACAAAATTACCATCAGCTACTGTAAAACTGATGGAAAGATCCCAAATACATGGAGATTAAACTGATTTAACCACCTTCGGTGAAATAGCTGCCGTCTCTGCTGTTTCTGACCCAAGAAAGCCTTCCTGAGAACACAAATACAGAATATCGCTGGGGGCGTATTTCTCTGGAGATGATGTTAGGTGGAACAGATTATCAGGTTTCATTGCTCTCAGAGCCCACAGAGGCTTTTCTCCTGAACGCTTATCTTTCTGAAGATTACTGACTAGACTACGGCACTAAAATTTAACAGGAAATGTCTAGCTCCTAGCAAGATTAGAACCTACTTAAATTACACAGCCATAAGGATTTCAGTTTATAAGGCACGGGGCAGGGAGCGGTGGTAAGCCATCCACATTTTTGCTGCCTTGACTTTAAATGAAAGTCTGAATATACAATATATAGTTTTCAACTCTGAATACGTTAAAAATGTGGGTATCTTCACTACTCTTGAAACAACGATGTGGTTAAGTCAAGGACTAACTGTCCTAGCTTCAGGCACCTGTCAGACGTGTCCGAGTTAGAATTTATCATCTTCCACTGCCCTTATTGTTGAGAGAGGGAAATGGGAACATCTGAAAGTAAAGCAAGTTTTAACCAGGTCTTTAGAGATGACAATCTAGAGAAGTCAGGGCGATGAAGCTTCTATCACCAATTAAGGTATCCAAATACATGGAGTGAGACCTAGTTGTTCAATACAAGTAACAATAACTGCCTGGAGATTTTACATTTAATAATAATCTATTAAGAGAAATAGTCTCCTGCGCGTGCCTACACACTGGCTTTTCAGCTCTTTACGAGCAAAACCTCTGTACCATAGCTGAGGGAAACCGGATTTCCAACAAATCGACACTTCCTTGCTATAAAACAAATCAGCACTGGTAGGTGCAATAAATCTCCAGTGATCAAGTGGTAAGTATTACTTTTTTTTTTTACACTGGAAATTAATAAAAAGTATCGAGTTTTACCCAAATTCCTGACTATTTGAAGGTTTTGGCTGCCATTTCCACTACTCTTCAAGAAGCTATGACTTCAGACAGTTTAATGTTAATTTAAAAAGCAGAAAGGATCTTTATGACCCTGGAGAGTCCCACATTTCAGGCTTCATCATGGCTAGTGGTATATATATGATCGTCATTCTACCAAACGGAGAGCACTATGTTTCCTTAGCTGTTCAGTAACTTCCCCCACGCTGTTTTCTGACCGCCTCACCTGTGAAATCAGGCAGGGCCTTATCGTCCACCAGGAGGAGAGGCCGCACCTGCTTTTGCTCCAGAAGATTTCTGGCTGCTGTCAGAGACGTGAAGATCTCATTTTCTGCAATGTCAAATCCCAGCTTCGTCAGCCTCTCCAGCAGGTCTCTCTTGCACTCCTTCGTTGTGTTCGTCACAAATCGAATGGTAACCGGAGCGCTGCGCAGCCTGATGGATGAAGAGCAAAGGCAAATTGGCCCCAGCATCCTTCTATTTCCACACCTGTACGTCTCTTTGGGACTGAAAAAGGACCGTTTGTCTGAAGGCTGCAGATGAAAAGACTGTATACATCCCAGAGTACTGGTGCCACACAAGAACCATGAGGTTGTTAACTTCTGTGGACTGGGGGGCAATGTGAAACAGATGGCAAGAATTACAGCTACCAGAACAAGACCAAGTCTCCCCTGTTTTGCTTCTACCAGGAAAAGTCTGGAGGAAAATAGTGATTCCAAACTCCACCTTCATAGTAGCAGCAAACACATCTATGATCAACAACAACTAGTTTGAAAAGCCTTCTAGTTCAAACTAGATAATAAATAAACCAGCCCTGTATTCTGGATCAACAGCATCCTGAACCAAAACAAATAAACAAAAGAACCTTGTTGCTAAATACATTGAACTCCACCTGCCGAGTGAATTTCACAGCAGCTGTGGCTCCTTCAGAGAGGCAGGATGCTCTAGGAGCCTGTGTTACCTGTGTGACGATTTTATGTTAGCTTTTGCAGCCATTTCTCCCTTTACTGAGGAACACCGATATCACATAAAACCACATTATTGCCCTACACTGACAGTACGTGCTACCAAAGAATCAAATAATTGTAAGTGACAATTTCAATGGCGTTCCCTTTAATTATTCCCCCACCATCACTTTCTCTGTTTGTTGCCATAGAAACAAACACTGGCATCACGACTGCACGGAGAACATCAGAATAAAGTTGGTCAACGCTGGAGACCTGCTTGCACCTGCCGCTTCTTTCTCTTGTTTGTCAGATACACCGACCCTTCACAAGTATGAACTGGTAAAAAAGTCCCCTGGTTGCTAATAAAATAAAAATAAGTCTTTTTTTTTTCCCCACGGACCTCAATACTGAGAAGTAACCCTAAAAATGGAATCTATCCATTTGTTCCCCAAGCAAGCTGCACGCCAATCATTTCAGCGTCTCTTTAGGAAGGACAATGACATGGATTAGCGGGAAAGAGCATGAGAAAATACTTTTTTCAAACCTTTAAGCAAAAAGACATGGCTGTTCTTTGCAGTGAAATGACCCCTCCTCTCCATCCCCGTGACAGCCGGTTCAAGCTGACAAACAGCACCAGACTCTCTCTGCACCTTATCCCTTCTCTAACGCCCTCCCCTTGCCAAAGCCAGAACAGGGCCTGCATGAGCACAGCTCGGTTGGAATCAAGCAGAAGCAGAAGACAAAGGAGAATCAGTGGCTTTATAAAACAGTTTGTCTTCCGAGTCTCCAGAAGCCATTTCTTCTGTCCAGTCTACTGCCTGGGGGTTTGGAGGTGGGCAGCAGACAGGACAGATACTGAGCTCTTCTCGACAATATCACCACTTTTTTATATATATATAGATTTTTTGAGAATGCTCTCACCTGGCACAAGTTCTCCCTGCAGCACGAAACACCAGGCAGACAAGGTCCAATGAATGAACGGGTAATGAAGGAGTACCCAATGCTTTAGCAGTTTTTACTTCCTTGCAATTTTACATCTTTAGGAGATAATTATCTCCACAGAATTATTTGTGAAAAAAAAAGCAGACTTTCCTAATCCCGCTGCGAACTTTTCCTCTGAGCAACAGTCTAGCTTCATAGAAATCTAAGCAGCCAATACAATTCCAGTAAAAACTTCTCATCCTTAATTCAACCCTGTTCCTCTCTCCTGATTAATTCTTATTGTCCCAGCATCTTAAGGTGTCCTCCCTCACTCATCATGATAGCTTATATCGCTTTGTGTTTTCCTTCATCCATTGCAAGATGTCTTCTCCAGGAAAACAGTGTCATAACACAGGACAAAGATCCCTGTGGTTGCATATCCTATTTTGCCGCTGACTTGGCCAGATTAAGTCATTTTATTATGCCTCAGTTTCTTTAGGCACCCTTTCATCAGAAGAGAAAGAGGTACTCAGCTGTCCTGTTTATTAACGTGTTGAAATTCTTACAAAAGATGGGCTGGATTATCAAGTGTTTCTCAAACTAAAAAAACGACTGGGGTTGTTTATCTACCAGAAAGAAACTTTAAAAATAATAAAGCAAAGCCTTGGCTGAACGACCAACTGAAACGAGAACTCTGCAAAAGATGCCTTGCTCACTAGGCCAAGTTATTCTGTTATTCCACTGTAGCTCACCACAGGCCTAAGGGCTCAGACAATCAGTCAGGTTCTTGTAGTTAAACAAAGCACCGAGGAACAGCTCAGCTGAAGTGACTTTGGTGTACACGGGGTAATTCAGGTTAACTTAACTACTTTCCACTTTGGCTGAGGCCGTAGTCCCATATGAGTTAGCGGAAACGCGCTGAATATTGTCTTTTTCTATCTAGAAAAGACCTAGAGAGCAACTTAGGAAAGCCGTGGGGGCTCAGGTGATACATGGCAACTTTTCAATATCTAGGCCCTTTGCTGATTTCTCTTGGTATTAATACAGGTGTAAATAAAAGCAGAATTTGGCCGCCTATTTGCTTATCCACGACAGCATAAAAAGGCAGAAGCTTCAGGCCCGTTTACTTAAAGAAGCGTCTTTGTGCAAACAGTGCTGACCATAACCTATCAGAGGAAATCGAAAAAGGTAGCTTGCCTTTTAAGAGCTTCCTGCGCGCCTGGCACAGCTGAGTCTTCAATGTGAAGTGTGCCGCTGAGATCCACCAAGACAGCTTTCAGCGCACGCCGAGCTGCCATCCTTCCTTCCCCAGGGAAAATGCAAATAAATGAAACAACAAAAAACTGGTTAGCAGACAATGGATAATAAAAATAAGGAACTCGGTTAAGCGCCTCATTTGTGCCCAGCCCGGTATTACTCAGAACATTACTCGCAGTATTAAATGGGCCCCTTTAGAGAGAGAAATAAAAGGCAGTGTTTAAAAAAAATACATAATTGATGGGGTGGTATTTTCCCAAAGACTCTATATATGGAAATCAGGTGCTATTTGTTTTTTAAGTGCCTTTATTTGTGCGCGTCAAAAAAATTCTCTGAACAACTAAGACTGTTGGGAAGAGGATCATTAGGTCTGGTATTGCTGGTTCAAGGCCTCAGCAAGCACATTTCGGCAAGTCCCATCGACACCAATGGCGCTGTTCAAGCAAAAATAAATACACCACTACTAAGCGACGATACAGTGCTCCGACTATAAAGCTCAAAAAGCTCTGCGAAAGTGGATATTGTTAATTTTATTTTTGTAAGCGAGATCTACGGTGATCCAGCCCACGACACAATTCAGGTGCCCTAACTCTTAGGTTATTCGGCGGTCGACTGCCTGTGTGCCGGCGTGGATTTAGCCTGGAAGCCCTCAGGGCTCAAGGATATTCAGCACCCCAAAGGGTTACTCCCTCCTCTTGCAAAGGGGACACTCAAGCAGTTTTTCTACAGCAAGCTTCTGTGTCACACAAAAGGAGACTTAGCCCAAAACAGAAGCCAGCATTCAAAGGGTAAAAGCACCGGGGAAGAAAACAGTGAGGTCATGTGCAAGTCATCTGTCTAAAAAGCTGTCTTCAGAAACCAGTACTTCTCCTTATCTGTGCTGCAGGGGCTGTATTTTGCTCCACAAGCAAGTTTGCTGAGCTATTTCTTAGCAAATGTCCAACAGGGAAGCTTTTCTCCTGTCTGTTGGACAATAACGACTATCTGATCTGTCATCGCTAGCAAGTCATCACGATTTTATGTTGAGCCCTTTTGGTTACAGACAGACCATGTAACATGTATGTACTCTTAAAAAAAAAAGCAGAGTAGTCAACACCATGATTAGAACCTGCCTTAATAAATTTAATTTTCTATTAATCAGGACAGTTTTATCTTTGCAGACAGTTCTATAAATGATCAAGATCACCTGAACCTGATGTCTCAGGTACACGACACGCACAGAAACCTTTGAGATTCCACTTTGATTATTCCTGCTGGTTCCCTGCAATAAGAAAAAAAAAAATACAATGCTTATTTTACAGTATGTCTGTTGCTACACAGGCCAAGGTTGAAAGTCTATGATAAAGAGCTGATAACAGAACGCCTAAGGGAGCTTCATCAATCGCATGGGAAAAGAGGGCACCAGGTTTCTAAGACATCTTCTCTGAGTGAAATACTTAGTGCAGACAAAGTGCCTGAACAGCATGGAATTTGCATGACTCCACATTATCTCCAGGACAAAAAAATTCTCTTCCCTCAGGCACTTCAACTTTAGCACAGGGAATTTTGAGTGGTGAGAGAGATTAAAAAGAGGACTGAAGGAGGTGCTATTATATCAATTCTCTAGCCAAAGACACATGACTGCAGAGCAACTGCACCGTGTCTGCATGGGTAGCACAGCTAAGGATGGATAGAATATCCTAGCTTAGCAGAAACGGGATTTTTTTTTTATTCCTCTTTTACCCTAGATCTCCGTTGGTTCTCCTATTCACAGTGTATTTATTGAGGTGGTATGGAAGTTATTTGCAGAGCCAGTTTTCAGCATAGCTGATTTTAACTATAAAGCTCATGGCCTAGCAATAAAGTCCTGAAAAACTTCAGTACCTCAGTTTTCATAACCGCAGCCCAACACATTAGGGGAACCTCACCTTGGTGCTGGCATTACAGCTACAGCAACGGGATGAAGCCACACGGTAATTCAGGCCGGTCAGGACCTGAGGGACCATCCAGTTCAACTCCCACCTGGTCTTTGGCAGTCTAAGGGGCCTCCGTGCCGTACAGGGATGCAACAAGGTGCTCACGACCTGCGTGAAAGAGGCCTTGGCCCCTTGCGGGAACTTGTAATGGCACAGATGTGTTTGGGCCACGGAGGGGCTGCTCTCCATGGCAGAGGTGCCCGGCACTGCCCGCACAGGGCCGGCCTCCCCCGGCTCCTGTTCCTCCTTCTCCCCCAGACCCCACCACTGGGCCACCCCACAAGGCCTACGCAGTGCCGCCAGCAAAGGCCAGGCCTTTCCCTTGGACAATGGCACAAGCCAGGCAGCAAAGCTGGAGCCCCTGAAGCCACTGGCGAGCCCCAGGACAAGGCAGCAGAGCGGCCCAGGCCCAGGCCCAGGCCCAGGCCCAGCCCCGCCAACGG